GATCCTGTGGTGAGTGATGCCTGAGGTCACTTGTCTCATCTCTTTCAGGACATGAGTCTCTGGAAAGTGGTCAGAATGAAACATTTCTAGAGACATTTACCAAGCAGATTCTGGGGACCCAACTCCATGGGGGTCCATCAGAGCAGCTGAGGAAATGTTTCTTCTAGAATCACATAACCAGGAAGAACCTGTACTCAGATGGGTCTATCTGGTGCAGAGAGAAACTGGATTGGCATTCTGCAGAGACACTATGCACACACACATGCACACACACACACACACACACACACACACGTGGACACTCACACGTGGACACATAGAGTAGCCAAAAAGTCTTAGAGCAGTTTTAAACTTTCATAATTTCAGAAGCATAAATGTCACAAACTTACAAAATAACATCATGTGAGAGTTCAATTATTTAAATTTCTTCTATACTTCTATACCAGTTTTGTGAATTTTTATTGACATTCACGAAATTCATGCACTGGCTGGGGGAGGGAGGGTCCCTCAGCCCAGCCTGCACCTTCTTGCAGTCCAGGAGCCCTCAGGGGATGTCCCCATGGGGAGTGGGCCTAAGCCGGCATTTGAACATCTGTAACACTGCCTTGGAGGCGGGAGAGGCTCCCACCACTGCTGCTGTGCTTGCCAGCCATGAGCCCGGTTGCTGGCTGAGCGGTACTCCCCCTGTGGGAGTGCACTGACCACCAGGGGGCAGTTTCTGCATTGAGCATCTGTCCCCTGGTAGTCAGTGTGTCATTCTGCCATTCAGTCGATTTGCATATTAGCCTTTTATTATATAAGATGATATACTTATATTACATACAGTAAATGAGCCACAATAAGCCTGCAGTGAACTAAAGTTAATTTTCATATGTGCTACTGTTAAAACTACATTGATGTTAACCAAGCTTGTAGAACTGGCTTTTTTAAAAAATAAAAATCCTCAGAGCATTACTTTTTGTTTGTACCAATTCAGTTTTATCTTCTTAGAAACTACCTCCTATAAAAATCCTTGTGAATTCTCATCTTGTCTTCTGCCGCATTAGCTTCCCTCCCATATGACTTCATCCACACACCATCAACTTTTCGAGTGGGCATTTCTAACAATACTGAATGATACAGAACCCAAACCAGAACCCTGTGCTACGACTCTCATCAAACAAACAACCCCTCCCTTCAGAGACATTAAGAGCCAATTTTAACAGAGGTCTCCTCCAGCACATTTGACAAAGACCTGGAAATCAGTACCTTTTGGACAAGGCAGCTCAATTAAAATTACAACCACCTCTAGCATTCAGACCATATATTTTCATCTTAGTCAAAGGGGCTCAGACCGCCCACAGCATTCATTCCTCTGATCCATCAGGTGATACTACCTATAAAAGGTCAGATGAGAGGCAACCTTGTCACAGATCTTTTGTTTATGTATTCTACTAATGAATATATAGCTATAGCTGTGCAAATCTAAAGACAGGTCAAAGCAAACAAATAGAAATGTGTTTACTTACGACAAGTTCAAACAACATTTGTGGTGGAATAAATTGTGTCTTTCCCAAAGTTATGTTGAGGCCTATACATGTGACCTTACTTAGAAATAGGGTCTTTGTAGATGTCATCATGTTATAATGAGGTCAGGCTGGATTAGGGTGGACCCTAATTCAATAACCGGTGTCCTTATAAGAAGAAGCAATTTTGTACACAGAGAGAGGCCATGTGAAAATGGAGGCAGAGATCAGAGTGATGCTGGGACAAACCCAGGGATGCCAAGGATTGCTGGCAACCACCGGAAACCAGAGCATGTGGGAGCATAGTGTTTCCCATACTTTGATTTTTAACTTTTGGCCTCCAGAATTGTCCTAGAATCAATTTCTATTGTTTTAAGCCCCCAGTTTGTGGAACTTTGTTATACCAGCCCTAGGAAACTTAAACATTTAAGCAAAAATATGTATATTTAAAGCCATGCCTATTAACATCAGAATCAAGAGCACTAATAAATTAGTTAAAACAAAAGAGGATGACAGATATTTAGGCCTGGTAGGGTTGAGGTGAGTGGGTGAAGAAATTGGCCAAGCAAATTTGGGGACATCAGTGTTGAGGCTGGGGGTTGGGTCGACAAAAGTTGACATCCTGTGACAGACTCATCACCAAGGAGTTAATTGTCCCTCCCAGGTGTGAGGCAGGCATTTCTCAACAAAATCTTGCCACTTTTTAATGGCAACAAATAAAAAATTTGTCAACTTATCATCAATATATAGGCAAAACCAGGTTAAGCTTCTTGTCTCCAATTTGGCATTTTCCTGGATGATATTTCATCATTCTAAATTAGCAAGCCATGCTGGAGAAGGATCTGTTGGCCTATCTGTCTTTCTATATAGAACTGTATCCACCATTTTTGAAGGTGCTGAGACTCCACTCATTGATGATGATATCGCTAAAACAGTTATATTTTGAGCTGGAAACAGGAAGGTGTTTTTGTGGGTTGTTTGTTTTTTGTTTTGTTTTGTTTTGTTTTTGTTTTTTTCCAGGTGAAAACTTAGGGGAGGAAGGAGGCTCCTTACAGTTTCTAATATTGCTATGGCTCTAGTATAGCCCCATGAAATACAAGTATTTAATGGTAAACTTCTCACTGGTTAGACCTTAAGAGCCACTTCCAGGAACTTTTCCAGCAGTAATTAGGGGGATGTATTGTTGCTAATCCTGAACACACTGGGAGGCAGGTTAATTTTGAAAGATAAAATAAAAGTACTGCCTTGCAGCAAAAGGCCACTTCTTGGAACCATTAAATCAAGCACAGTACTGGGTAAGTATTAATTCTTAAGATGTCCGTATCAGCAGCGGTACAGGAAGCTACTCGGAACAGGCCAAATGAAGCCTCAATGTGCAAATGCCATTTAGCAAGTACATATAAGCTATGCTAAATTATGCTCAGAGCACTTTCTAGAAGATTCAAATTTTAATATATTAGCATTAAAACATGGCGTACAAGCAACAGGGAAATTGCAGTTGTCAACATGTGATTTTAGTTTCAGGGTTAAGTTCATCCAAGAAAATAAAATTTTAATTTAGATTCTCTCCCCCTCCCCAATCCACATGCTTCTTTTAGGACGGGGGGCGGGGGGGCGGAGAACACAGTTACTCAGCAAATATATTTCACATCAAGAAATAAGGTATATTCATCAGGAGAAAGGATGTGAAGTTCTCACTTTCTCTCTCAAACAGTTTGAAGTGGGCCTGCAAAGGGCCAAACCACAAATTATGGGCAAGTTGTCCTGATGTGCACTGCTGTGCCAATAGAGAGATAGATAAATACTTAGATAGATAGGTAGATAGATAGATAGATGAATAGATAGATAGATAGATAGATAGATAGATAGATAGATAGATAGACAGACAGTCAGACAGACATAGATACACAAATAGAGATAGGGAGAGATCTGTGTGAATCCTTTTTAATGAGAAAGGATTCTAACATGGGGTAGAAAGAGACTGGGGACTTGGGAACCCCAGGCCAACTCTGCTGATGTGAAACAGCTGTATTCCAGTTCCAGTCTGATAGGTTGTTTTCTATATCAAATCAACAAATGAAACTTTCATTTCAGAATGCATCTGGTCTCTCAGACCATTCTATTAGAAGCATCTATTTTCTTTAAATTGAAAGTCAAGACAGTTTATTTTTTTTCAAAATTATGCTGTCAGCTCTTCTGCCTGACCCCTAACATTCATTTGTTCCATACAGTGGCAAAGCTGCCTGAAGAAGGGTTGGGATGGGTAGAGGTCTCTCCCTAAATCTTTGCCCCCAAAGGGCATGCCTATTAGAGATGACAGAACATATTTAGCAAAGAAAACTTATTTATAAGAAAAGAGGTATCAAACCACTCTTCCAGCTAAAAAATTTGAACCAAAATAACTTCAATCTTTCAAATGACACATCTATATATACTTTTATTGGGCATTTGAAATTTTCACAATAAAGAGGTAACCTTTCTTATTCTTATCCCTCCCTATACATTCTACATCACTTTTAAATGATGAAATAATTACAGTATGTTTAAATGCATGTAACTGATATGTATATATGCATATAATATAGATACTCTATGTGAATACACATCAGCAGTGTTAGAGCAGAAATATTACATCACTCATCATATTATGTTGGTGCTCATGTATTTCCCATCCATTTTGCTAAAAGCTTACTAATTTGTTTAATTGAATTTGTCTAGGCAAAACATTCATTCACTTCAAAAATCATTTCCAACTAGCTAGAATTTGAATTGTCAATAAGTATGTAACATTTCCCTAATTAAATTAGAGGTAAGATTATCATGGAAAGGCCTCTTTAATAACTTTTCACATGATGCTGTTAAGGTTCTGAGATGATTTATAATATTAAAAAAAAACATCATTCTTGAGTCACAACCTTTCATATTCATTTCCTAAGATGTGTCTTTCCCTGTTTATCAACGGTCCCTTTTTTACATTTCATTTTTAATGGAAGTAAGCCACACTACTCTTTTTTTTTTTTTTTAACCCTCGCAGATGGTGATGACATAAACTTCTGAAATGTTAAAAAAAGGGGGGGCACCAAGTCACTTTCCTAGTTAGGAACTAAAGGAAGTCACCTGAAAGACGAGCCTAGAAACATACTCAATAATTTTATGATTATAAATATCTCAAATATAAATTTTGAGGAAAATATACAGTTAAAATGTAGAAATCCACACCATGATTTTTATAGAACATCATTTTAGTTATTAAGTGGTTATAAATTAGCCATTCATCATTGACCCTTCTAAATTATGTAACCTTTCCAATTATCATTTCATCTGTTTTCTATATAAAAAAAAATCAAAGAAATTCAAGGTATGGAAAAGACATACTGGATGAGGATCTGAAACTGATTTGGTAGCTTTAGAGTTGACATGATCTTGGCCTGGTGCAGCTCATTTTGGAAAGCTGCCTCAAATTTCCCCTGGTTTTGAACTTTTTTTTTTCCTTACCACTTTCATCTAGCAAGAAATCATCCTGGTAACGGAACTTCTCTGGTCCACATGCAATAAAAATGTCATCGTCACCAAAAAAGTCCTGAAGGCACATCACCTACAAGAGAAAAGCACTGCACTCAGCAAGGGGTCAGCAGAACAGCAATTACTACAATGCACCAGCAAGTCAACATCTGCATGAAACCACTTCCTGTCTAATGCAATCAACAGGGCAGCTTCTCCACAGGAATTTCAAAGGAAGGTCTCCAGCATCTGTTACTAGTAAGAAACATGTTATGTTGCAGTTGTGCAGGAAGATGGGGTGAGGAAAATAGAACTATTAACTGTCACATTTATTACTTGATGTATCAATAGGCTCAGAGGTAATATCCCTTTATTTTTATAATAGAGAGAATGCAGCAACATGTGGAAAAGGAGCACCCTTTTTTCCTTCTGAATATAATATTCCTTGATAGCAATAAAAGTCAGCATATGATTTCAGCAACAAATATGTTTTTTAGTAACTGATGCCATAATATGTACATGATGTTCACTGGGGTGACAACAGAAGAAAAATAGCTGTATCATAACATGAATATAAATATATCCTTTAGACCCCTTCTACATCTAGTTGAGACAAAAATGTAAACCTTCATAATAATAGAAAAATAATATAAAAAAGACAGTTATTACTGAGATTTAGATATACAGACGAAGATAACTATATGCCCATTACTCAAGCTATGCTCAAATTTAAAATGCTCATTTTATCTAACTTCTCATAGTCAGGTAAAAAGCAAGTTTTCAAACAACCTTTTGATAGTTATTCAACCTACAATTCTTCAATAACTTTGAGAGCTAAATGCCATTTTTCAAGTAAATGTGGTCAAAATGAATAATTTCAAGCATATTGATCTCTGTCTTTGGATATACGATGTACTATTTTGTTCACAATGTGTATAATGCCAACACAAGGCACTGTAAACACTGCTGATTTCTATCTCATTTCAATTTCTTGTGACCATTTGGAGCAAATCCTAAAGCAGCCAATTAGAGGCACACATTCAGACTGTAGGAAACAGACTTTCTAATAGCATTTCCCTTGGATATCTGAGAACCATAGTCAAACCTTCCTGGGGTGTTAGAGTTTTTGGCCTGTGTTTACTATTAGGTCCTCCCTTGTTTGTAGTTTCATTTGCAGGGTCTCTCTGGGGTTCCACTCTTTGTCAATCCTTGGTGACACTACCCTGACACATCCAGGAGCTATAAGACTTACAATAGTAAGGTGGGAGAACAAAACATTATTTAAAGTCCCTAAATGCAAATATGTATAGGTTCCAGATAGTTTTTCCAATTAATCTCTCATTTCCAAATAATCACTTGGCTGTAGTTTTAAGAATGAAATTTCTATAACAGTTTGATAATAAGCATTAAGTATGAATGAGGTACTACCTTGGTCGTCAGTGCTTACTCTGTCTGTAAGGCTTGACAACATAGGTGACTTAAGAGGAACATTGTAATTATCAAGGAAGATGGACTGAGGGTCTTCAATAGCAGTGTCAGAAGCTCCAATCTTATGCTCAGGTTAAAAACATGTTCTTTGCATTCAGAACCTACTGTCTATTTTACCACTCTCTTTCATTCTGATTCCAGCCATGACCCTGTTCATCTTTACATTCAAGACACAGCTCCCCTACCCAGCTTTCTTGGTCAGTGTTGGTGTCATCTTATCCAACCTCATACAGGCCATTTTCATTCTATCTGCATAAATCTGTATTGTCCCTATATATACTAGTTATCATATAGAATGTACATAGGAAATGAGTAAGACATAGTCATTCCCTCAGGCAAAAAACTGTGAACAATTAACCCTAAAGAGCATATTTCCTAAAGTGTGGGTTGTTAATAGTTTCTGTGCAAATAGACTTGGGAAATACTGAGTTTATCAGATATAGACAGGTGACTTCTGAAAACACTTAATGTGCTAATGTACATCACAACTCCAAAAAGGAGATAGAAAGATTCAGTATTTTCCAAAATTATTTGATTCCAGAACTCTTTTCTCATACAGCAACCATAGGTGAAAAGAACTCTGGGAATACACAAAACAAAGAACAGTTACCCACTCTCCTCGTAGGCAGCATTATTTCTCTAGCTGTTTGTTTTTTTGTGTTGTTTTTACTAATGCAAACATTTATAATGGGCCTACTCTGTGCCAGGCTATGTGCCAAACATTTGATGACAAATTTCTGATAGATGAAAAGTATTGTTTTCAAAAGGAAATTGTCCTTTCTTTCTATGTATTCTCATCACTTGCATTTTAGAACATCAGATTGCTAAGCAGATTACATTCATATATGTGTGTATGTTCTATGCTACTGCTAAGAGAACAAATAATACAGGGTGGATCAAAAGTAGATTTACAGCCCTAGCCAGTTTGGCTAAGTGGATAGAATGTTGGCCAAGAGACTAAACTGTCCCAGGTTCAATTCTTGTCAAGGGCACGTACCTCATTTGCCGGCTCGATCCCTAGTCCTGGTCAGAGAGTATGTGGGTGGCAACCAATTGATGTCTCAGATCAATGTTTCTCTCTCACATCGATGTTAGAGAGAGTCCTTTCCACTCTCTCTAAAAATCAGTGGAAAAATATCCTCGGGGGGGATTACCAATAACAAAAAAGTAGATTTTTAGTTGTGAGTACACAAAACAGAGTTTATTCTTGTATTATTATTACTGAGGCCTGATGCATAAAATTCATGTAAGAGTAGGCATTTCTTCCCCTGGCTGCTGGCACCGGTTTCCCTCTGGCACCTGGGACCAAGGCTTCCCTCTAGCAGCCGGGATCTGGGCTTCCCTCGCAGCCCCAGCTTCGTCTGGAAGGTCATCTGGAAGGATGTCCAGTCTAATTAGCATATTACACTTTTATTATAACAGATTATACTAGAGGCCTGGTGCACAAAATTCATGCACTTGGGGGGGGGGGGCTCAGCCTGGCCTGCGCCCTTTTGCAGTCTGGGAGCCCTCGGAGGATGTCCAACTGCCTAAACCAGCAGACTGACATCCTTAGCACTGCTGTGGAGGTGGGAGAGGCTCCCGCCACCACCACTGCGCTCACCAGCCATGAGCCCAGCTTCTGGCTGAGAGGTGCTCCCCACTGTGGGAGTGCACTGACCACCATGGTTCAGCTCCTGCATTGAGCATCTACCCCCTGGTGGTCAGTGCACATCATAGCAACTGGTCGTTCCACCATTCGGTCTATTTGCGTATTAGCCTTTTATTATATAGGATTATTTTCCATACAAATAATTGTAAGCCTACTTTTGCCCCACCCTGTATTATCAAGACTATAACTCGCATAAGCAGGTTGTCAGCCAACTGTTTTCCAACATGTACCAATGACCATCCTCCAAACAAAGAACAGAATAGACAACCATTCAGCTTGGACAGTTTAGTTATAATTCTGTAGGAAAGTGGGAAATGAAACATAATGAACTTCTGATGTTGCTTCCAAATCCAGGATTCCAAGAACATAAAAGAAATGTGGTGATTGCTAAGGAAAAGTAACTGTCATCACCCAGTACAAAACAATAAGGAAAAGTCATTTCAGTCTCAAGCAACATGTATTCATTTACCTCTCAATGTTCAGTGACTGAAATCAAAGAATTTGTTGAACTATCAGAAACTGTGATGTTTTCTGTGTTCTCTGCTCTGGTATCATTTAGCAATTTCTCTGCTCACAACCTCCCACTAGAGAAGGTAGATATGGTCAGTAGATGAAATTCAAATTTATAAAACTCTCTCTTGTTAGAAGCCTTGGTAAAAGACTTGATAGCAGAAGTGCCTTCAACACAAGCTTACAATAAAGAAGGATTTAGAATAATCTGTGCACTTCAGTTATCTATACTCTGTCATTGATCTAAAAGTAGCTATACTGTATTCACTTTACACTAAAGGTAGCTATAGTGTAACAAAAAAGAATCACAGAGAAGCACTTACAACCATTTTCTCCAGCACACTGGTGTGCTGCAAGGATTTTTAAAAATGCAATACCTGACTATTTAGTCAGGGCACTGACTTCTTTTCCCTTAGATTGTCAAAAGAAAAATGACAATAGCCAACACAATAGCCATCATGTGAATGAATGAAAATTATACCTATTTTGCCCTGGCCGTGTTGCTCAGTTGGTTAGAGCATCGTTCTGTACACCAAAGGTTTAGGGTTTGATTCCTGGTCAAGGCACATACCTTGGTAGGTTGTGAGTTCAGTCCCTGGTTGGGGCACATATTGGAGGCAACTGACAGATGTTTCTCTCTCACATTGATGTTTCTCTCCTTTTCTCTCCCCCTTTCTCTCTAAAATCAATAATTAACATATCCTCAGTGGGGGAACCAAGATGTCAGCATAGGTTAATGCTGGTACTCGGATTCTCCCACAACCACATCAAAATTACAAGTAAAATACAAAACAACTATCATGCAGAACCGCCAAAAATCTGGCTGAATGGAAATCCTGAAACTAGAGAAGTAAAGAAGCACATTGAGACTGGAAGGAAGGGTGGAGGTGTGGAATGGCTGGTCTGACACCCACTTGTGGTGTGTTTTTAATCAGGAGGGATATCTTAGTTAAGGAGGCTTCCAGGGAGGAGGAAAGGGTCCCAGCCCCACACCAGACCCCTCAACCCACTGTTTCTGAGCCAGGAAGAGAAGTTCCCGTAACTTTGAGCTATAAAAACCAGTGGTGATTGTGGCTGAGTGACACAGAGACTACTAGAGTCCCAGGAAGTTTCTCTTAAATATCCAGCATATGGACCTACTTGGACTCACTCATTCTGGGCTCCAGCACTGTGTCAGCAGCTTGAAAGAATCCAGGAACATGTGGGAAGGAACTAAATTTTCTGGTATCAGGGCAAGGACTTTGGAGCAACTTTCTCCTAGGCAAAAAGGCTGGGACTTCCCCACTACAGAGATGACTGAGTCCCCATCAACCTGGCCCACACAGTTCTTCCCACCCTAGTGATTCTCTAACATCCCATCCCCCCAATTTTCAGCTTTACCCAAGTTGTTTGCAGTGTCTTTTACATATGAATGGCCTGTTCTGGCTCAGGCTTCAGACTTTCCT